TATAAAAGCAACGTTTTACATCTCATTATTTGGCTTTAAGATTTTATTAGCCTAATTGATTAACTGACTAATTTCAGCTGTAATCCAGAAGTTATGGCCACAAACACGCTTCTCCAGCCTTAAAAGCCCAAACACGCAGGGCGCAGTAATTGCTGCATCCACTTGTTCGATTCTCCTAATATGATTATTTTGTGGTGGATTGTACGCTTGAGGGTTGAAGCATCTCATCTGCATGGCATCACCACCTTGGGGGAAGTTAGTCTCGAGGACGTGGCGCTTGCCCACCTTTTCTTTCGAGGAATAGGAGTGTTATAGAAAAGTCCGGGGCTTCCCATTAAATTTTTAGCGGGTGCTGCAGTATAGTCGAGCTTAAATATTAACGAAGGTGAACGCTACACGCACTTTCCACTAATGCTGCGAAAATATAATTGAATTTTAATGTTTATTTTCAATCATTTATCAGTCATTAAAACACAACTTTGATGATATGATATGTTTTCGTAATGACCTGGTATCTTTGTGAAGTGTCGTAAACTTTTGAGCTGTTTTTAATAGTCACGAATGAAGTGACGAGGTAATGATATAACAAATTGATACTGTAAATTGACCTTAGATGATGACTTGAGAATGTACAGTGAAGCATGGTGGCTAGATAAGCAAATGTGTGGCCTTCTATTTTTAAGCTGGTTTAAGCTCTTTAAAGGAGCTGATATACTGTAACTTCTCTCCATTGATACAGCATCCAGGGTTTTCATTTATGCTGATGGCTTTGTGCCGTTTCCTTCACACTGAACAACCATCATTTTTCACACCTTTATTGTTACCTCTACGCCATCAGCTCTGCTTTCTGTTATCTGTTGCATGAACTGGGCCACAGTCTGCTTGTTATGCAGATGAAGAGACCCGGCTTGAACATTAGCTCGAGTGTACATACAGTGTATATCGAGTGTCATATTTTACACTTACATTAAACTTGCATTAACTGCTGTTTTCTGGCCACATGGGAGAAGCAGAAAGAAGCTGCACCCAACACTGACGTATTATCAGCTCATAAAGATGATATGTGGAACTCGTTACAGTGAAAGCATTTTGCATGTTTACACATCCAGCACATATGGAGCAGCAGTGACATTCATTAGGAGTCATGTTAATGTCCACATGATGACTGCAAGTCCAACACCGACTCTCTTTTAGCATCATACACCAGCCCAACCAATCGCAAACGTAGCTGTCAGTCGTAATGTCGTTAATGTCAACTTATTATAAAACTAAACACTTGAACATACATCAGCACGATAAGAACTACCTAAAATAACACAAACCATCTTTGGGGAAAATGTACTGGCGTGTACTGTGATTATTTAGTTTGGCCCATGTCCCAGTTGCAAACACAGAGGAGCCTGACAGTGACGACAACCGAAACACTGAGCTGAGAGACACTGAGGAGCTCCATAGAGCTGAGAGGAACTTTAGAGCCAGGTTAGAACTGTGAGTCATTGTTAATAATTAGAGATATTGATTATGGCCACTTTAAATATAGTTAAAGGGTCAGTTTGCACAAATTACCTCTGGCTAAGCAGATCGTTTTCAATATCTTTGTCCAGGTTTTGAGATCTCTGCCTCTACCCCAGTACAATGGCGGTGAAAAGACTTTTGTGTGTGGTCCACACAGCACTGAAAAGATATATTAAAATAAATAAATAAATAAATTTAACCTTTATTTCCAGAAACAACGTCCTGGTTGTTCTGGCTAAAAATACACAGCGAACAGTTTCCAGAGAAATAGTCCCTAGTTTAAAAAAAAAACAAATCGTCCAGAGTAATGAGGAACCTGTTCCTGGTGACAGATGTTACTCTTGAATTTTTCAAATACGTTTTTGAGTCTGTGTGTGTGTCATCATGGCAAAATGTGGTCCCCGAGACACCTGCTGTAGTGGGAACTACTACTGAGGTGATTTTGAGCACTTTGGCAGGTGTTTATGTCTGTCTGTCCGTCCGTCTGTCTGTCCGTCTGTCTGTCTGTCCGTCCGTCTGTCTGTCCGTCCGTCCGTCCGTCCGTCCATCCGTCTGTCCGTCTGTCTGTCTGTAGACAAATGTTCTCACCACATTAGCGTCACAACTGTGCAAGACCCAGTGACAAAACTTTACAGGAGTGTAGCTGACATAACAATGAAGGCCAAGTTTGAAGATGGGCGTGGTCCGACCCATGAGCACTGAGTACCCATGGGTGCTGTGAAAAAAGAAAAAAAGGAAAAATAATGTGCATGACTAGACTATGTATATATTTTTGTAATTTAGCTGAACTAGCTGACCCTTTTAGAGGCAGAATCTGTCAGTTTGTATGTAACACAACCTGTTACTGCTTTCTGGTCCAATTTGCTTGTTGCTGTGCTCGTAGCAGCTGACATGCAAATCTACCCCGATGATCTAATTATGAACTGAGGAAATGTGAATTATGAGTAAATGTGCATCACTGCTGTCTTGGGAAAAAGCACTTAAACTGACTGCATCTTATTTTTTCAGTAATGAATGTGTTGAGTCAGTTCCATGACCCCTTGGGCCTGAAAAACTTATTAAAACTCAATTGTGTGATTTCGAAAACTACTGTTCACAGGAGTCAGTGAGTAAACAAGCAGGATTTCTTCATTCCCTAGTCTGGTTTTGGAGATCCATGGTCTTTAATAAAGGCTATAGACTAGCTTTATTTGTGTGTGCAGAGAGAGAGAGAGAGTGAGCGAGAGAGACAGTGACAAAAAGACTCCTCTGAGTGGCGTCGGATTTTTGAAATGCACCTGGAAAGTAAACTAATTTTCTCTGCAGGTCGGAGGACTGGTTATGGTAATAAAAAGAGAGATGTCATTAGATTCAGTGGTATTTGAGGAGTTCTCTGGAGGGGGAGGGGGAGGATGCAGCTATAATATTGGTGTTTTTGAGTGACTGAAAGAGTGTGACAGAGGAAAAGAAGTGTGTGTGTGTGTGTGTGCGTGTGCGTGTGTGTATGTGTGTGTGTGTGCGCGCGCGTGTGTGTGCATGCGTGCGTGCGTGTGCGTGTGTGTGTTCGTGTGCATGTGCGTGTGCGTGTGTGTGTGTGTGTGTGTTCGTGTGCATGTGCGTGTGCACGCATGTGTTTTCCAATCTGCTTCCCCGCCACTATCTCTGTCTCCTCTGTGTACATGTTATTCATGAGCTTGACCTACATGCGCCCATGCTTGTGTGTGCACGTGTGAATGTGTGTGTGTCACTCCACGCAGGAGAAAGTGATAAGGTTCTGGTCCACTTTCCAAGATTCACCAACCACTTTCACGCTCTGACCACCCAGTTTGATATTTTTTTATACAATAGAGTGCAATCTCCGGATGACAGTCTCCACTGTGTTTATGCTTTCATACTACTTACTGTAGTGCTGCTGCAGTTGCTCAGGCCCACTTACACCTGCCCAGTTCTTCTTCTTCTTCTTCTTCTTCTTCTTCTGCTTCTGCTTCTCTATTGATTCCGCACAGACTGCTGCCAGAAATTTAAAGTAAAGCAAAGAAAAAGAAAAGCGAAAGTGTGAAAGTGTCTGAATGAAAATTTCATATCGCATATTATTAATTAAAACTTATACTATAAACAGACCTGTTTCATTACTCTAAATATAGCTGCAACAGATTGCAATTAAGATGCTGTAGATTTTCTTTACTTGCCAGAAAAAATCCTCATTTCTTGGGTATTATATGATGTGAAATGCAAGTTTTCTCCTAAGCAGCAGCAAGCAGCTCTAAAGAAAGCCGGACTTAGCGATGTTAGATCTTTACCCTCTCTCGTCCCTTTGGTGTCCTTCAGCATGAAACATCACAGACTGGCCTGGTTAGTAAACATGAGCGCGCTGTGTGCGGTTTACTGATGTTACATTACAGAGGTTGTGGATACTGAAGGGAACTGAAATTTCCAGCTAACTCTTGCTGCCATCTGGAGATGCTAACGTGCAGCGTAGACTTTTGAGAATCACATGAAGTAGCTTTGAGACTGAGGTTTTTTTGACTTATTTCCTCATGAACCGGGACGTTCCAGCAGGATGCGGGTCTTAGAGAATTCGAAAGTTAATGTAACAAGAGGAAACTCTTCTCACACAGTCTGGAGTTGTTATTTGTACCATTTTAGAACTGAAAATGCAATAAACGTAGAGATACACATTTGGAGACGTGGTTATTTCCATCATTGATTTGCATTTTTTGATTAACTGATAAACAGTTTAGTCTATAAAATATCAGAACATGGTGCAAAATGCTCAGAGGCAAAGATGATATCTTCTATTTTTTCTCACCGACAGTCCAAAAATACAAAGATATTTAGTGTACATTGATGTAAAACAGAGAAATGCAGCAAATCCTCACATTTTAGAAGCTGGAACCAGTGAGTTTTAGGCTCTTTAGCTTGATTAATGACCTAAGAAATATCAGTTTTAACAGTTATTGTTCATCAACTAATGGATTAATCCTTTCTGCTTTTAACTGTATTTTGGCACAACACACATCTGACTCACGTTACTCCAGCAAAACCTAGTTACCCTGAAGACAAAGACAGACCTGCAGGTTTTATGAGATGGAAAGTTTTATTGGATATAATGATTGTATACATCACTGAATGAGTCAGCAGAAAAAAAGGAAAAAAAAACGATCCTTTTGAGAGAGGAAAGATATCATATTGCTATAAAAATGTGTGGAAATGCATTGGTCGACGTACAGTGTGGCATATAATGACAGATTGCAGAACAAAACACCCAAGGGCACAAGGTAACTGCTCAGAAAAGGCATTTTTCATTTAATGGGAACAAATGGGGGTCATTGCACCTCCCTACAGTTCTACAACATGAAACCACCACATACCTAATTACAAAGTATTTTTCTGTCACAGCTTACGTGTTTTTTTGTTTGTTTTTTTACTAGTCTCTGGTTAAGATGCAGACACCTCCCTCTTGACTGTCCCTCTTCCTTTCCCCTTCTCATCCCTCTTCGCCTCAGGGCGCCCAGACGTGGTGGAGCCCGTTCCGGACGATCCCACATACAATGTGAGCAGCGAGCTCACGCTGGAGGTGAGCCGCAGCGACGACAACGCCCTCATCACCTGCGCCGTCGACCATCCCTCTCTCGCCCCGGGGGACAAGAGGAGCGAGCAGGCTCTGCGGGTGTTGTGTGAGTCAACTGGGAAATAGGAGTTGGGGGTGGGGGTGTGAGATACAGATACAGAGGATGCTGGGGCAAGGGAGGCAGAGTACAGGACGGACAGATGTGAGAGGGAAATATATAGTGAAACTGCTCTGGTTTTTATTTCTGCCTTGCTCTTCTCCTTTATTGGGCAGTATAGGCACATTTCCCCTCTTTGCAGTTTGACCTCTGCACCAGTAATTTGACATTAGCTACCTGTAATAATGACCACGCAGGAACTTAACCTTCCTCTGCTGCCGCACTTGGCCAGAGTTGAGTCACAGTGAATAAGAAGAGCAAGTTATCATCTAAAGTGAAACTATAAATGGAGCCACGTCGGACTGCACTGTACTGGTGCTGCCACCCTGTGGGCGAGCCCACAGTACTGCGTCGCCGTGGGAAAGTGATGTCGTTGTGTAAGGGGTTATGTCATTGTAGGAGGCAGAGAGATGGTGACGCCTACAGGATGCAGATGGGAGTAGATGGAGACAGGGATGAATGAGGCTATCGGTGCTGTGTGCATGTCTGTACGGTTATGAGTCCTGTGTTATGTAACTACACTCTGTGTCTGTGTGTGTGTGTGTGTGTGTGTGTGTGTGTTTGTCTTCCACTTACAGATTCACCTGAGGTGGTTATCTCTCCTGAAAACAATTTGCCCAGAGAGGGGGAGAAGTTTTTTCTGCAGTGTTTGGGCAATGGCAACCCAGAGTAAGACACTTGCACACACACACACACACAAACACACACACACACACACACACACACACACACACACACACACACACACACACACACACACACACACACATGCACACTCACGCACATGTCGTTCACACCATGTCTGCCTGTATGCATGTATATGTACAGTGCTGCTTGAAAGTATGAGAACCTTCCAGACATGGTCACTGTTTTTGTAAAAAACATTAAAAGAACCTTATTTAACAGACATCCAAATCCTAATTTGTAAAGCACACTTTCCAAATACTGGACACACACACAAAAAGAGATATTTTTCCATTATGTAATTCAACAAATGTGGTTTATTTCACAAACACTGAAAATGTAACATGTGCAAAAGTATGTGAACCCTTCCATTAGTAGCTTGTGGCTCCTCCTTTTGCAGAGCATTACTTCAACCAGAAACGTCTTCTGGTAACCTATTAACCAGCTCTCGCATATGCTCATGGATTTTTGCCCACTCCTCCTTTGCAGAAACTCAGCCAGTGAGAGAGGTTGGAAGGGACATCTCGCATGTCCATCTTCTTCAGGTCTCGCCACACAACATTTCAAATAGATTTAGATCTGGGACTTTGACTGGGCAATCCAGAGTTACGAATCCTCTTCTTCTGAAGCCATTCCTTTGTAGTTTTGCCTGGAATGCTTCGGGTCATTGTCTTGTGCATAATCCATTTTCGTCCCAGCTTCAACTGTTTGACTGATGCAGGAGATTCTGCGTCAAAGGAATTTGTGTGATATATGCCTGAGAATTCATGGTTCCCTGATATATGGAGTCGCCAGTTCCAGAGCAAAAAGCAGCCCCAGATCTTAACATTTCCACCACCATGCTTCACTGGTAGGGAGGATGGTTCTTTTCTTCATTCTTGCTAGTGTTGGCTTTTCTTCAAACATGGCCGGTTTTGATTGTGACCAAATAACTTCTATTTTAGATTTCATTCTGTCAGAGGAATGGACTCCCCAGCAAGGCCTCGGGTTGTCTAAGTGCTCTTTTGCAAAGTTGAAACGGGCAAGCTTTGTTCTTTTTTGAGAGCAGAGGCTTCCTTCTAGCAACCTCCCATGAATTGCCATGCTATTTCAATTTCGTTACTGATCGTAGATGCATGCACATTTTGTCCCGGATGCTACAGAGAAGATCTGCAACCTGTACGAGTTGATGTGTGGGTTGTCCTTAACCTGATTTATTATTTTTCTGGTGGCTCTGCGGTGATAGTTTTTGATGGGCGCCACTTCTAGAGCAGAGTGCTGTCATGTTGAAGGCCCTCATTTGTCAAATTATTTGCTTTTACAGTCAATGGATTGAGCTGGAATCCTTTTGGAGATGGTCTTATATCCCTACCCAGACTGATGGGCTGTCACTACCCTCTTCTTCATGTCCTCGGATATCTCCTTTCTCTCGGATTGTTATGTGTATGTGGAACCCAAGTCTGGTTTTGGTTCGTTCCTCTATGTCTTTTAATTAGTGCAGGCCAATTCCTTTCCCAAGGATGTTCATTTCATTTGGTCTACTGAAATGATTAATTAAGCACTCAAAATGTATTACCTGAGGTCTGTTACCCTGCTTGACTTAACCAATGCAGCTGGGGATTCACTTACTTTGCACATGCACTAATTCCATGTTTCACTGTTAGTTTTGGGCTACTTAAACAAAGTTCCACTAAAAATCAGTACAAAGCAATTGATGTGAAACATATATTGACATTTCATACATAAAAAACTGGTGTCATGATAAAATAGAAAATCAGGCTAAACAACAGAAAACATCTGAACTGCTCAAGGGTTCCATACTTTCAAGCAGCACTGTATATGCACACACTTTCTCTGTTTTAAACACCATATGTACAACCACACATATACACAATTATAAATCGCTATTCACAAAGGGAGAATTGCTGATGTGTTTATTTAATACAACTCTAAACATCCTTTATACAATACAAATAAGTAACATGACTAAACATTAGTCATGTTCCAACATTTCCAGGCAGTTCGCAGTATAACCAAGGCTTTCTTAGTCTGTGCCAATAAATAGTGTAATAAGACCATTTGATTTATGCTCAGATTTTACAGGAATCTCAAGTTAGAGGACATAACAGTACACGTGGTACGAAGGAGTATGAAGGAGCCACAGCAGCATGTGGCGTGTCTGTGTAATGATCGATGATAATGTGCTTCAGTAAGGGGTTTATCGTTTGTTTGCTGTGAACGGATGAACAAATTCTCTTGCAAAAACTGTCTGTCAGTGGCTTCTCAAACTGCTCATGCGAGTCTGCCATCTCTATGGTTCTCTAAGATCTTGTTAAGTTCAGGCTGACTACCTACTGTGACTGCTCGGTTAAGGTAAGGTAGTGGTCATGGCTAGAGGAAACCCAGCGCTGACTCGTCGGAGGGAGAGACACTTTTTGAGATGCTGTAACATCAGGCTACTTCCACCTTTGCTTATCTGCAGTGTTTGGACATTTGGCACATGCAGCGAGGACAGTTTGGGATGGACGGTTAGTTCAGGGTTTGTGTGTTATTTCTTTTTCTCGGTGCGCTTCTAGCCTTCTTTTGTTCTCGGCATTCAATTTCTGACACCTTGTCATGCGAGTAGTCACTTGTTCAAACACGTCACGCACATAAGCACACACAGGCACAGTTAGCGAAAACACCTGCTCCGACAAGCTCTCGCGTGTTCGCTGATACAGTGTGTACACAATTTTTCAGAAACACACACACAAACAAACAAACTGCAACGCGCGTCTTAAATCCTGCCCACACAAATACACTCTTTCCCCTGGCCTTTCTGCATTATAGATGAACCTCCAGCCCACCAGCCCTATCGATCCGCTCTCCTCCCCCCTGTCCTCCTCTCCCTGTCTCCCTCCATCCCTCCATCATCGGGTATCTCTCCGCTGCTGTGTCAGTCACAGCTCGTTCACTCCTCTCCGTCTTGTCACGACACCTCCCTGCCCTACTCATCATTCTCCTCCTCTCCCCGTCCTTTCCTATAACTCTCCTCTATCGCTCCCCACACCTTTTCCCTTTAAATTCTCCATCCCTCCTCCTCCTCCTCCTCTTCCTCCCGTCCTGCTATCCTATTACCCCCTCCCTTCTCCTCTTTCTCCTCCTGTCAGCTCATCACAGGAGTGGCTAGGAATAAGACTAGCCAGTTAGTTTGATTGGCGGGTGGAACAGATAGGGGGTGGGGGAGAGGGAGGTGACTGTCATCGCACGTACGTGCTTTAACAGGCAGCAGGGGAGTCGATAAAGTATAGACAGGAGGAAAGCAAGGCATGAGCGGAGTGCCACAGCTGGGGGTTCAATTCCCATTGGGACCTTCTATTTGTTTGTGATACAATAAGACACTGTGGATGAAAGCATCCATTAAACGATGTACTGTCTGCATGTTCTATATGGGAAATAGTCTCTGGTAATAAATGGTTCTATGCAGTTCAAAATAGCCCTGACAGTGCAAGAGTTCAGGGTTCAGCTCCCGCTGGGATCACCGTTCCTAAAAATGTACTGAACTCACAGTACATGGAGGAGCTTTAGATAAAAGCGTCCGCTGAGTGGCAGAGGCTGCATGTAACAAAAAAAAAACAAAAAAAAACGAGGCTACAGAAGAAGAGAAGAGAGAAACTGTCATGGCAAAAAAAAAAAAAAAAAAAAAAAAAAGAAAACTTTCAAGGAAAAAAAAAAAAAAAAAAAAAAGACAAGGGAAGGAGAGGTAGAGAGGGAAGGAAAACAAAGCAACAGGAGAGGCAGAGGGAAGCGTGGGCGGAGGGGAGACAGAAAGATTTGGTGACAGTGACTAAGACAGAGAGGAGGAGAGCAAACAAGCAAAGCCAGTGTGTGTGTGTGAATCGGGGGGGGGGCGCTCAGCTATGTGCACCACCGCCTGTGGATGAGCTAGTGTCCAATCAAATCAGATACAGGTTGCCCCCACAGCTGTCAGTCAAAACCCAATCACCGCGACGACACCTTTCCTCCGACACACCCAGCCACTCAGCTCCCTCTCCTCCTCTTGAGCTGTGCTCCCCGATCAAACTCAATGAACGTCACACTCCATCCCGTGGCTCACACTCCTCTTCTCTCTCTTCGTGGTCACATCCTGTCAGGTTCAAAACAATAACTTACCGTATCGAATTCTATACCGTGTTTCCTCGGCGCCTGGCAGCAAGAGCGCTCTAATAGAAGAGAGTGGAATTCGTGCTCTACATTCTATTACATTTCCCATCTATTCAATCAGCACGGCTGGGGAGTGCTCGCAATTGCATCACATTTCTGCTCTTGAAGTCATTTAACCACTTAAACTCCCCGAGACTGTTCACTTAACACATTTACAACTAAAAAGCTTTGCATAACTTTGACTCATGCGAGCAAGGTCATGGCCACGGCTGGAAAACAGCAGGTGACATGTAGCAGGATTACAATAATCTGTAACCTATTAAAAGGTGAGGCGGGCCACATTCTATACTCGTCACAACTGGCACCGGCAGGATGGTAAAACACAGGGGAAAGGACCCAAGTGCAGACGTTCAGGCGGAACTTATTCAGTTGAAAGATTTATTATAAACAAAAAGGAACATGGCTTTTCGGAGTGGTGAGGCAGGTGAGAGTCAAACAACCAGGGAGAGGAGGCCAACAAGGGGCCAGTGGACAGGGAGCTAAAGAGTAGAGCTCAGGATCTCAGGGGAACAGCCCGAGGGCTCCACTCTGGCTGGGGAGGGGCGCAGCTGGAGATCTCAGGTCGAGGGCCTGAGGGCAGGACAAAGGTAGAGAAGGAAACCTCAGGTGGCCGGGCAAGGGGGTCAGGCAGGCAGGTGGAGGCAGGGACAAAAGCAGGACTGCTCCGGTAGCGGGCAGTGAAGGCGGGATCGCTCTCGAGCAGAGCAGGAGGTTGATATGGGGCAATAGTCAGATGAGTCCCGGAGAAAGGGGACTGCTCAAGGTCTACAGGGTCGGAATCCGACAGGATGCTAGCTGACTTGGGTGCAAGAACAGGCTGGCTGTATCAGGGTCAGCAGCAGGACCGGGCAGGATTGCTAGCCAACTTGGATGCAGACTGGGGGCTAGCCTACTAGGAGGCTGACTGGAGGCTAACGGGCCTGAGGCTAGCCGACTGGAGCGCAGACTGGAGGCTAGCAGCTTGAAGGCTTGCCGACTGGGATGCAGACTGGAGGCTGCAGGCAAAATAACCCAAGCCTGCCCCGTCTGAGAAGCAGGCTGAGGGTTGGGAGACACTGGAACAGGCTGCTGGCTAGCAGGCTGAGAGACTGGTCCCAAGTCCTTTAGCCACTCAGACAATGAACTCTTTAGCCGAGGTGTTTTTGGACACTCTTTGCGTCCCACCCTCACAACAACCTTTGGGCTCTCTTCTACTCACCGTACAAGCATATGAGGACATCTGACAATCCATGAAGTTCACCTCAAACAAAACATCTGTTGGGTCCTTGGTGCGGCCAGAATGTACTGTCGCAGCTGGTGTAAGCAGGATGGTGTGGCGAGGCGGACGAGAGTAATACAAACCCTGTCCAAACAGGAAAACAAGTCCAGTGAGCAGTGGCAAAGAAATACGAATTCCGGAAAACAGGCAACAAAGGTCAACACAGAGGTCAGACAGGAAAACACGAGAACCCAGATCATGAAGCTCGCAGCAACTTATCACAACACTCGGCCAACTGAAAAGGGGAAACACAAAGCTGTAAATACACTGAAGACTAATTAACTAATGAGACACAGGTGGCAAAGAAAAACAGCAGGAAAACACAGAGTCAGGAAATAAAAATAACAACAGGTGGTACACATCAGGTGGTAATTTCAAAATAAAACAGGAAACACTAAACAGAGTCCAGGCATGGAGTTCACAAGGAGGGCCAGGTCATGACAATACTTTTCTTGTCAAACAAATCCCATGAAAAGACTAAATTAAACCCATTAACCAGAATTGCCTGACTGGGTTTATTCCTTTGTGCGATAAAGCCTCAGTGATGAGCAAAAACTATTCAAAACACGTGAACGGGCCACATCACTGCACTCGATGACCTGTTCTTTGTTAATTTGCGTAATCTTGTTTATTTTGCGTCAACTCTACATATGCTGACCTGCTGCCGTAAATACTCACTAGCGCACCAGGTTAATCCACATTAATCCGCAGCTGAAAATAGTCCCCAACAAATGCACTCATTACTCCCATTTGAGTTACCTTTGCAAGCGCCCGGCCGGATTATCGTTATCGTTATTACTTCATGAAACTGTGATGGCAAACAAGTTAGCAAACTGTGGCATATTTACACATCTAGCAGACACTGGGCAACATTTGAAGTCATGTTTGTGTCCACCTGGCAAATTTGAATCCAATATTTACTCTTCTTTTAGCTCCATTTTGTTTCTCTACTAACTCCAGAGGGAAACATCTGTCTCTTAAGCAGTTAAATGCTCCACTTTCCTCAACAGCTAGATGCTGACTTTGTCCATCTGTTGTTTGGTGCTGGGCAAGGAGTGACAGTGGGCAACTGCCTGTTGTGTCTGGAAACTAGGCTGATGAGAGCTGACTGAATCAAAATGGTTCAGATGTGGGCTGTAAAGCTTTAAATATGTCCATTTTTTTCCAGAAACCAGTTGCCTTGAGACGGAGTGCCACAGACTGGGTAGAAAAGCCAGAGAGTAATGAGTGTTGGACTAATGCATTGTGGGCCTCCTCAGGGATTTGGTGAAATTAAAAACAATATAGAATAACACCAGATTTATCCTTTTTAAATGTAAAAATACTGATCAGATGACAGACACTGTGTGTTGGGTGTGTTACTAAAGTGTTGGATTGTTTAAATTTCCAATACTGGCGTGATTTAACACATTTTATATTAATAATAATAACAAAAACACCCTAACCTTTTTTCTTTTTTTTTTATAACATGGTAACGTTTACAGTCAGAATGCACCAAAGTAATTGCAATGAAGAATGTCTTCAGGCGTATCATCACTTGTGTGCAGTGTTTACTGATACATGCGTGCTAATTGAAAAGCTTCCACCTAAGCAGAGCTCATAGCCGAGAATAAAACACAGGTACGCACCATGGATATTGTCAGCGTGGTCTGACCAATCAGCTGTCTGCACTTAAAACTAGCAGCCGTATAACAGAGATTGACTTTTGAGCATTATGTTTAATAACACCACACGAGTTACAGCCTGTAAATGTGAAGTTAATTGTTCAGATAATTGCATATTAACTAGCATTCGGAGGCAGCATAATACAACAGCTGATTACATTTTATTGCAGGTAACCTGACGACGTAGACAAAGACGGTCAGGACGGTTTTTCCTTTTTTTTTTTTTTTTTGGGGGAAAAATATTCATCCGGTATTTGCCTCTGCACGGCTGAGTGAACACTGGAGCTCTTTTTAAGCATTGTCAGGATTTATACTCCTAAAATGACACACATTCAAAACTTTGAGCTTCACAGTGAGTCCACAGTCTCCCTAGTGTTTGCTCAGCAGCAGGTGTCAAGGGAGCAGACGATTAGCTTTCACTCACTTTGAGAATTCTTCCCAGCAGCAATAACACAGAGTTGTTGTGGGTTTTGCCTCTCAGAGTCTTCCAGTTGGATTTTAAAATATTTGTCTGAAGGAGTTTGGTCTTAAGAGCAGCAGAGTTCAAACCTTTAACGGTTACTGTACGAATGCCCATCTGGCCACCACCTCGAAGTCACACATTTCACCTTTAGTTGTCGATGAGAGTTCTTTTTTTTTTTTTTTTCACATTTCGAAGAACGATTAATCAGTCCAACACACTCAGGTCTGTCCCCGATTCAGACTCCCCGTCATTGTAATTACTGTACAGCGCTTAAGGACTCACACATTTACATAATTGATTCTTTTATCAAGGCACGTCTCGCTATCTCTCTCATACACAATCTGTTATGCAGAATGGATTTTTTAACGCAGGCTGATTTGAAATGCTGATCTTCATTCTGTTGTTTTCTTCTTCTTCTTCTTCTCCCTCCATCTCTTTTAAGAGCTCTTCTCTTCTTCAAGCTGCGACACTCCTCTCGAACCCCGTCCTTCTTTCCATCATTTTCTTCATCGTTCCTTTTTTTTTTTTCACTTGTTCTGTCTGCTGCGACAACTCTCCCCCTCCCCCTCTTTACATCATTCATTCGCTCCATCTCTTTCTCTTGTTTGTTCTCGCTTGCTCTCCTCTCACGCTTTTATCTTCTCTTTTTCTGTCTTCATTCCTCCTAGCCTTCTCACTCCTTTATCCATTTCTTCTCTTTCCCTTCCTCCCTCTGTTTCACTCTTGATGATTTCATCTCCTCTTTCTCCTGCAGCACTTGTCACAGCTCCCTTCTCCTCTCATCACTTCACCTCTTTTTTGTATTTTTTTTTTTTTTTACTTTAAGTTACTCCTTTGCAAAATGTGCACAGCATATACAGTTCAACTCAGGACTCTTATTCTTTCTGTATGTGTCTTTCTCTCCCATGTCTCAGGCCCACCTCCTACATGTGGGAGAAGAAAGATGGAGAGCTCCCCCCACTGGCCAAAGTCGACGGTGCTTTCCTGCGCTTCGAGATGCTCAACAAATCAGATAATGGCGTCTACCTCTGCCAAGTCGACAACGGCATAGGAAACAACCAGGGGGAGTACACACTCCTGGTGCAAGGTAACGAGGAAAAGTGAAAAGAGGGAGGGAAAATGAGCCAGGAAATGGAGTGTATGGTGGGGGAGAGATGGAGAAGAGAGGGATTAATGTAGAGAGAAAAGTGAAGAGGCTGGGATGTCTTCTTTTACGTTTCTTCATCACGTTTTTTTTTTTTTTTATTTCTTCTGTCGTTTGTTGTGGTTTTGCTTGTACTTCTTCCATCTTTTTTTCTCTTCTGATTTTCTTTCGTTTCTTTCCTCCTGTTTTTGTTTGTTGTTTTGTTCTTTTTTTTTCTCATCCAACCGCGCTACCACCACCACCACCACCACCACCACCACTGCTTACCATCCAACCGCTTTCGCTCGTTCTTGCGCTTCTTTCCCTTCGCTTTTATGTGCCCTCGTTCGTTTCGATCCACGGCCATTTTTGCGCTTTGCTTGCCGGTTCCTCCTCCCCAAGATCCCATGGACCCAGACGCCGTGGACACCACCTCCCCCTCCCCTGATTTTTCAGCCTCTCCCTCTACCTCCTCCCTCCCATCCTCCTCCCCTCCTGACACCTTCTCTGGCTCCGGCTCTGATTCCACCTACTCCTACCCCTCCTCCTCCCCTCCTGACCTCACCTCCACTTCCTTCCCCGACTCCTCCCCTTCTGCCAACCCATCAAATGCTGACATGTCGACCACCGTCTCCGATTCCTCCACCACCACCACCACCATCCTCTCCAACGCCCTCTTCCCCGACCTGCCATTCTCTCACTCCCCCTCCTCCCCGGCTACTACTGCTCCCTCCTCTGCAAGCAGCGCTCCGTCCACTGCCACTCCCACCTACCCCTCCCTCGCCTCCTCCCTTACTCCCTCAGTTTCCGTCCGGCTGAATGGAGTTTACACTTTCACAGGTAAAAATCATCTGAGTCACACACTTGGACACACACTTGCAAACAAGAGAATTGTGAGATGTTTAGTAATGGAGCGGAAAAGCAAACACCATTTACGTTACTACTTTTGTTATTTTTATCCCTCAATACACAAATTGTGCTTGCAATGTGGACAGTGGGAGTTTGTTTTCCATGGACACACACACACACACACACGCACGCACACACACACACACACACACACACACACACACACACACACACAGACACTCATACGTAAAGCTTGGCAAGACAAAAGCACATAATGAAGGATAAAATGGCATTTGTGTGTCCATGTCACAGCTGTTTGATCTTTTTTTTTCTTGTTTCCCTCTTTCCTCCTGTTAATAATCCCTAATCCCCCAACACCCCCCCCCAACACTCACTCCTCCACTCATCTAACCATCCATCCATCCATCCATTCATCTAAACATCCAACAATCCATCTACTCATCCACTTGAGAAGATGCTGCAGAGAACATTGCAGGTATAACTTTTCCACCAGTCATCTGTAGTTATGACTCTCTGTCGTTCTAACTTTTCGTCCACCTGCCTGTCTGTCCGTCCGTCCGTCCGTCCGTCTGTAGTTCTGTCTGTTTTTTGTCTGTCCGTCACTCTGGATAAAAAAAAAAAAAAAAAAAAAAACTAGTCTGGGGACCCTTTGAACTTCAGAGCAGAGGGATGAATATTTCATACTCCTGCCCACGTAATACTTTGTTGTTGCCCATACATGCACAGACACACTCAACACACCATCTCACACACACACTTTCACTAATGCAACACGCATCGACACCACAGTGTTCGCACCACACACTCACGTCTATCTGACAAAGACACACACACAAACGCTAGCATGACCCCTTAAGTGGTACAAGTCATTTACACAGTGTTCCACTTCCTCTGTGTGTTTCTGTACGTGTGTGAGTGGTTTTTCTTCTTGTCTGTGTGTGTGTGTGTGTTTGTGTGTGTGTGTGTGTGTGTGTGTGTGTGTGTTAGCACTCTGGAGGGAGGGGTCAGGCTTCGAGGTGTTCTTGGGTCTTGTCTGCTTTCCTTTGATGCTGACAGCAGGATTTATGGGCTCATTCTCAGTCTCGCCTCGTCAGCATGCCCCTCTCACCTCCACGCCGGCCAGCCGGAGTGTGTGTTCCACTCTCTGTGTGTGCGTGTGTGTGTCATTCTGACTGGTGCTCAGAGTCTCCCCCCTCCCCAGCCCACCCCAGCCCCTCTCTTCTCCCTGTTCTCTTTCTGCGGCTGGCCTCTGGTTGGTTGTTGTCATGCCCCTTCACTCCTTTAACTGGCTAAAATGTGACTTTTTTTTCCCTCCAAAATTGGTCGTTTACCACATCTGTTGGTGTCCCAGCTGGTTGTGTGTGTGTCCCTTCCCTCCCTCCTCAGTTACAGTTTTGTCCACATCTCTAGTTGTCAGTGTCTCTTGCTGTGCCTCTATCTCTCTGTGCTCTGATTGGGTGTATACGAGCTGGCTATTTGTTCCTCTGACTGGTTGAATTCTTGCCCTCTTCATTGGTTTGATCCCTCAAACGTTCACCAAGTGCAAGACGGTCTCTCGTTCCAGCCCCCTTTCCTTTTTGCTCCCTTTAAAAATCGTTTATCCTTTTCAATGTGTGAAGTGCTGCTTCTGAGTTGTGCCTATCTGAGTGACTTTCAAATTGACACCCGGCGTTTGATCCGTTCTGAAAAGTCAGGCGAAATAAATGATGTATCAAATTATTTCTGCGTAGATTGCTTTCTTCTCCAAGGGGCAAGTAACCAGAGAGTCTGAAACGAGGCAAAGTGGGAGGGAAAAAAAAAAATCAAATCGCCGCTGTTGGGTGAAAAACCTGAATCTCAAAAATTGTCAGAAGACAAAGAGGTCTTGTTTTCAGCTTGATCTCCAAATAAAAGATTTCTATATTTTTCTGTAATGAAATCATACTTTTACTATGCAGATTATGCAACATATACAAGTATATTCTACCAATATAAAGGATTTTGATAATACATGTCAATATTGAAAATGTACCGTATACTGAAAACATTATTATATATTATATATAAGTGTTTTTTTCTTCCTTTTTCTTCATCTATGCTCTCTCTCTCTTTCTCTCTCAATAAGTCAGTATATATATACATATATATATATATGTACATATATATATATATGTATATATATATGTATATATATACACACAGTATATATGTGACAAAAGTTGTCGGTTGTCAGTCACACTAGTAGTGTATGCCGTCATGTTATGTTGTGTTGTGCTATGTGACGTTATGTTTTGTTATGTCATGTTATGTTATGTCATATAATTTTCCTTGTCTTTGTCTTGCGTCACCAAATAAAAAAAGAAAGCATTACTATTATATGTTTATTATACTTTTCAAGAGTGTATTAATGCCTCTGTTAGTTTAAAGTACTATATTTTCATAAATACAATTTTAATTTGTGTATTAATTGTACTTTACAGTATAAGTAGTAAAAGTGACAAAGTAACAATGTTGAAATTTAGATTTGAATGTGCTAAAGTGCATTTTTCAAAAAAGTATGTTAAATACGTGTATTAAACAACATTAAAATTCTACTCACGTAATAGTTAATGAGACTAATCCAATTACATGTTTGCATCAAGCTGACAAGCTTCCCTCATTTATGAATTTCAGATAAACATGTGCTACAAGTATATGAAGCATACTTTCAGAAAATGTACTTAAGTATGCTTTCTCAATAATTGGAGAGCCACCATGGCTGGATTAATCTGCTAGTTTCATTCACCATGTCTGGGTTAAACTAGCAGATAACTTTAAATTTATATTTAATCAGATTATTACAAAAACTGATTCCGGGGCTTTGGGGGCTCCTGGAGGTTTGGGGCCCTGGTGCAGTTGCCTGCATCCCCTGGTTGGTAATCCAGCCTCGGATTCCTCAAGCCTGAGCATTTTTTCAGAGTTTTTTAATCCACAGAAGAGCATAAAATCCTTCAGTCAAAGTGAAAAAATGGAAATCACCACAGCTGAAGGGGCAAGGATTTCACCCGACATCAACAGCGTGTCCCCACAAGGTTCTTACAAGTGATTGGGACTTGGTTGGTAAAGTGCACAATCCTGCTGCATGTTAGTCACAAACAGTTTTTAAAAGAGGGTGACGTGGTGGCCTCTTTTCTTTCGCCTGGCTTTTTTCATATCCTCGTCTTTGTCTTCTGAAGGTTTGCCTCTGTGCCTGGGTATTATATATTGACAAGTCTTCTCTGCTCCCCTGTTCTTTTCTTTTCTTTCTTTCTGCCTTCTCTCTGTCACTCTCCCCATTATTCTCTCTCTCTTTCTCTGTTTCTGTTGCCTTTCATCATCTGTCTCCCGTTTCCACCAATATTCCTCTGCCACCCCCTCCGCCCTCTCTGCTTTCAATCTCCGTCTCTTTTTCCCCCTCTCTCCCCTTATTTCTTACTGTCTCATTTTCTCTTGCTGTTTTGTCTCTTTCCTTTTCATCCACTTTCCATCTCACCCACTCCTTTCCCCTTCTCCTCTCCTCTCTCCTCTTTGCACCTCTTCTGTTCACCTCCGTCCTCTCAAGACCCCACAGCCATGTTGACCTCTTCGGGGGTGGACCATGCTGTGATCGGAGGGGTGGTGGCTGTTATCGTCTTCATCCTGCTCTGCCTGCTCATCGTCCTCGGCAGATACCTCATCAGACACAAAGGTCACCTGCTCGCAGACACACCCACACACAGACAAATGAACACGCTCACATGAACACACTCATGCATGCATGCATGAGCGAACACAGAGATACACTTGCATAAATATGGATACATGCGTAGCGAGACAGGATCTCACACGTACAAACATGCATATGCATACAAATGCAGGGATACACAAAAATGCAAACGCACTCACACCTAAATATAAATTCGGAGCATAAGCCTCAATTATTTTACTCTTAAAGCAGAATAAGAAAATGAAAAAATGTCAATAGGTGAATGTTTATTCATTGCCTTTTAATGCATTTTGGTTCACACAACTTCCTGTGAGATTAGATTTCCTGACGTCAGCATGTTTTCACTCCTGTGACCAAATATGGGATTTAAAGTGATTTGGTAGAAACTCATTGCTTACTTACTGAGATCAGCTTGAGCGCTCCGCTCGCTCTTAGCTCTCTCTTTGTATTAGCTCTCTCTCTCGCTATTCAGCTATATTCACTTCCCAGAATTTCACTTTTGGAATATAAACAAACAAGAACAAAGCAAATTCAAAAAGGCTCAGCTCCAGCAGGGGACATGTGAAATTTAAATGGTAATATAGACATGTTTTGGCACTCACATGGGGCAGTTGATGCATACATGCCCTCCACTATCACCACAGTGAGCCAGATTCAATCCCCAGTTCCGGTGCCTCCAGCTGGCCCAGAATATTGAACACGGCTACCTGTTGTCCAGTGTTCACAGGTGCCGCAGTCTCTGAGGGATCATATCAATGTCGCTGCACTAGCGACTCCCTCTGGTTGGATTAGGCACCTGTGCAGAGGTGGGAGTGGGATCTGGGGGGGGGTAATGTGAAGCTGCTCATTGTGTGGTGACTGCATGTGTATAAGTCTGTGGGCCAACAGAGGAGTGAGCAGTTCTAAGCGCTGCTGTACAGAAAGACTTGGTCAGTCCTTATCATTATATGAGACTAAACAGAGATAGTTCTCACTTACAAAGCACAAAAACAGCTGATTGAGACACTGATATGTGTACGTACATATTGTGAAATGGCCTCAGAATGATATATCCTGAGGTTTTTACCAAAGTTCAATCCACATTAAAAGTAGTTTGACAAAATAATCTGAACTTCTCTGGTGCTTTCAATGACATCTCATGGTTTTCATCAGCAAATGGATGGTCAGACAAGTCCGAACAGGTGGTTGTATTTGGGGAGAAAGGTTGTAAACCCATTCATTCAAAGGTATCAACTCATTACTTTGACCCCTTCCCAGATTTTGCTGGGTGTTCACAGACAGCTGCTGTCGTCCAGGTCCTTCCTGTTACACCAGTGTACTGTTGCCAACAGTTGTTGCACGTTCCCATATACAACCACCATTTATCATGTGACCGAAGCTCCACCTCTAAGTCGCTTGATGACACATGAGTTGAGTCCTGACAGTGATTCAATTCTATTGGCTGATAAAAAACAGTGACGTGTCAGTGAGAGGTTCAGAAAAAGCTTCTATGTGGACCTCAATTCATGTTAATTTGGTCAAACTTCTGTTTCCATTTTCAAGATACTAACTTTTAAAGTGAAATAAGAAAAGCGATCTGGGTAGAAAAGATAGAAATGCATAGAAAACCAGGAGTTATGAAGTAGCTTTGGATCTTTTCAAATAAGAGCGCATGTTGTGTTGGAGCATGGTCTTGTTGACACTGGCTTAGAGGAGCTATTTGTAAGTTTCACTCAGCATCAAACTTCATTCCTTTACTCGCCAAGAGCTGTCTTCAGCTGTGGAGAGTAACACCAATGTTAACTCTTGTCTCTATCACATCTTTTCCTCTTCTGAAGATAGCATGCTAACCAGCTAGCACTTTCCAATGGCAACTCAGTGTAGCCTCCTACCTGCCCTGAAGACGTAGCGCTGCCTAGAGGGTGTATTTTAACCTCCTGTGTTGTAAACACAAAGATGGCCGAACATCTTGTCAAGCAGCAATTATCATCACCTGCTCAAGCCAAGAAACCATGTTTAGTAGTAGAGAAAACTTGCAAATAGCCCCTTTAATGTCGATCCATTATGCATTGATGTGCAGTTCAAAAACATCTAAAAATTTAGGTTAAAATTTGTAAAGTAAAAGCTTTGTAGATGTCTAGGATACATAGTGTATAACCTGTGTTTCATATAAACACCTTTTTATCAGTTGGTCTCCCAGCGTGCCCCCAGCCTGAGGAAACCTTCACCACATAATAATTCAAACACATTAAAAACAAAAAGTTCTTGAAAACACCTGAGGTGATAGTTTAGGCATCATATTGGAACATCTCACCACTCAACTGTTTATAACAGCCTCTACCCTGCTGGCCTTCTGTCATTTTTCAGTTCCAGCGTTTGACTTTTACTGCCTCAGCAATCTTATTCCTCCTCCCTCTTTCTATCTCTCTCTCTCTCTCTCTTACTCCATCGGTCTCTTTTCCCTCCCTTTCCTTCCACAGGAACGTATCTGACCCACGAAGCCAAGGGCTCGGACGATGCCCCCGACGCCGACACAGCCATCATCAACGCAGAGGGAGGCCACTCTGGAGCAGAGGACAAGAAGGAGTACTTCATCTAGATAGAGCATGGAGGAGGAGGAGGAGGAAAAGTTGGAGGACGTGGAGGAGAGGAGAGGGGAGGAGTGAAGGAATAAAAACTCCATTTTGTTTTCACAACGCTTCAGTTCTTCACTCGGTTGGAGGGATGATGGAAGGGGAAGGGAGAGAAAGAACTGTGGACAGGATAAAGTGATTCAACTGGTACTACCCTCTTTGCATTGATACAGGGAAGTGAGATTTTGCACTGACATACGAACGAACTGTAGTTACACACTCAAACACACACATACACACACACACACACACACACACACACACACACACACACACACACACACACACACACACGAGTCAGTTTTGGGGGAAAAAAAAAACTCTTCTCTCCCAGACTCGAATGCTCGTAGACGCTCAGATTAACAAACACGAGCCTCCTACTAACACGTCTGAATTATGACACATTAACACATTTTTACACAAAGCATCGTATCCTATTTCTAACTGTCAACGCCTCGAAAAAGCAAAATTGTAACTCACATTCCTGGCATCCCAAGCTGATATTTCACTTCTCACCACCCATGCCAACCTGTCTCCTCAATATTTAAACCAAACCAGCTCTGTCTTCTCACATTGTTTTTTTTTTTTTTTTTTGTCCTCATTCTCTCCATACGACAAGGCGGTATCCCTCTGTAAACACCCTCGTGGCAGAGAAATCCATCTAAATTATTAGTGACAGACATAATCTCCCTCTCTCGCTGTTTAATCTTTTTATGCCATCAAACTTCTTTCTGTGCCCTCACGCACTCCCGGTACGAGCCCGCGTTTTTTCCCTCAGCGCAGCACCACACAACATGTAACACTCATGCAAAAATAGCATTCCCACCTTGCGCTACAAAGCCGAGGGGCTCCAGTATACATATATAAATATATATATATATATAGAATTATATAGCATTCTTTTTACTTGACAGAAAATGTTTGGTGTGCTGTAAATACACTCTCTCTCTGTACTCTTTCTACCTTCTGTCGCCTTCTACCTATCTTCCCTCTCTCTCTACATCTCCCTCTCTCCTGTATCTCATACAGTCTGTTACTGCATTACAGTAACTTATATACTCTTAAAAAAAACGCCTGCCTGTTTTTATTACATGCGTGGAAATGCAGAGTCGAAAATATCAGTATCTGGGGAAAAAAATAATAAAAATAACAATGATGATGTTGCGATGAAAACTAACCTTATCTGCAAATATTTGTATGAGGAACGTTTTCCTTCTTCTTTTTTTTTTTCTTTGTTATTTTTCTTCCTATTTGGTTTCTTGGGACTTATGAGGGATTTTCTCTCGTCAGTGTCTCAGTGTGTTACCGTCAGTGTTAACAGTTTACAGTGTCTGTCAGTTTGTCAGTCCAGGAGTCCATAATCTGATTTGATTTCCAATTTGTGGTTCGATTTGGAGGTTTAGGGTTTCGATGCTGTTTGTTCTCTTCTGTGCCCCACCTCCACTGCCGCCATTTTATCCCCGCTTAGCTGGCCCCTCCACTCCCAAACACTGAACTGTAGCAAAACCTCTGTCGAACACAGTTTTCGAAAAAGGTGTCAACATGTTCGGTGGAGCTTTTCCTGGAGTATCGCTGCAGTCTTCTTTCCACTCGGCCCTGCTGAACGCACCTCTCGCCTCCACCTTTTTTTTTTCTCCCTGCAGCAGACTGCTTGTCTTGGCGCGGCCACCTGGCGCTAAATTCATTGAGTAGTGACATCATGACTTCCTCTAAGAAGCTGGCACGGTCGCTGTTTCGGGGAGGTGAAAATGCTTGCTTGCTTTCCACTACGGGGCCAAACAGGACTGCCTACATACATTATGACAAACTTCCTGGCAAAAAAAAAAAAAAAAACCCTCTCTGTTATTGTTCCTCTTTCTTTTTTCTGTGTGTGTGTGTTACTGCGAGCAGGAATCATTCGCCATTTTAGCAAAAGGTTCCCATAAATGAACAGTGTTTTATTAAGGTTGGGAGTTCGCCTTGGCACTGGTAAGCTCCGCTTGGCCCGGTCGTGGAAATTGATTGCAATCTAACTAAGAGGCTCTGGGCCCCAGACTGTTCACATGCCAAGGTTTTCCTTGGTGGGCAAGGTGCCGAGCCGGAGTCTGGGCTGCACTAACACTGAAGAAAGTCATTTAGGAAACTTAAATGTCCTCTTCTCTTTTATTCCCTCCGCTCCGCTCGTCCATTTCTTTTCATTCTTTAATTAATCATCCCGTCTACGTCCTGATCCACCTTCACCCGGTCCCTCTTCTCCCTCTTCGCTCCTTCCCCTTCGTCCCTCCCCCTCCATCTCTGGTAATGTCTGATTCTCCTTGCTGGTCTCTCTCTCTCTCTCTCTCTCTCTCTCTCTCATTCAGGAGTTCATGTAGACGTACAGTAGAAGTAGCGTCTCTAGGTTTTTGTCGGCGTTCGCTGATGGGTGTCCGCGGCACTTTTTCTGGAGTGTCCCGGAGAGGAATCCATTTGCTGTTGTCAGTCTACCCGTAGACAGTTATGTCTGTGATAGTTTTTTGTACACCTTTTTTGGGAACGTTCAGGGATTGTGCTTTTCGTACCTTTCCCCCGCATTATCGTTAACTGCTACCTAGCTGGCTGCTTTTGAATGAAGTAGCCAAGCTAGAATGTCTATAAGCTAGCTATACCACAAAGAGTAATGTGACCTGAAGCAGGGTCAGCTGATGTTTTCTTTTCTTCCTAGAGCTCTCAGTTGAAATTTGGGGTGGCTACGTAGTAAACTTGGCTTAAACAGTGTTTGAATTCCGTTGCACATGGTTTGGCAACTTTAAACGAACCGAGGTGAATATTTCGTCGAAATTCATAACACTGTTTATCACACGTTTTCTCTGCAACACTCTATAGCCTTTCACAGTAAACATGTCTGCAGACCAGAGGACGGGCTTTGTCTCACGGAGCTCGTTGTCCACTTTGAAGAGATACCTTTGATTTGTATTAAACCCCAGTCTAATTCTGCTCTATGAATGGAAAAAGAAATACCTGCCTCATACTCAAAAAGTGTAGTGTCTTTTAAAAACTAATGGACCTGTATTTGCCTGTAATTTATCGTCCTGTCCTTTGTCTTAGTTAATGTGCTAGCATGTAGCTTGCATGAGAAATGGTTGGAAATGTAGATAGTGTTGGAGATGAGAAGTGTCGACAAGCTTCTCTCATGAGACAAGAGCGGCGGTCCGCCCAGCTGACTTCCCTGCTGTTCTCTGATCTGCAAACATAGGCCTTGTCCCAGTTAAACCCATCTGTACCTCCACAACACTGCAGCGCTCGAGGGGAGCGCTGAGGCAACGAATGAAGTGGGAATTATCCTGCTTTCCCCCACCGCTGCTACATTACAACAACACTGAGGTACAGTGGCGTTGAGTGGGGCCCGTGCAGTCTAATCCATATTTCATTGCATCAGTGCAGTAATGACGAGCTGTCACCAGATGCCAGCAAACAGCAGCTTTTCTTGTCCCTCTTCAGTCAGGCCGAGCTGTCCTGCCCCACCACATGACGCTCACCAACTCCTCTTCAGGCAGTCGCACACTACCTGCCGCTCATCTCTTTTCTTTTTATAGAATAAGCAAATTGATTTTTAAATTATGTTTTGTAAAGGGTGTGCATAATCTTAAATGTATTACTTTCAATTCAATTGATAATCATTTTCTTTTTCTTTTTTTAATTAGTTTTTTCCAAAACTTGAAGGTTAGAAATTTTAGTTTTCGCGCATTTTATTGTTTCAACAACCATTTTTATATAATTTCATGTATATAGTGTTGCCTTTACTCTTACAAGCGCACCCGTACACACTTTGCACACACACTTTGGGCACATGCACATGCACACACACATATCTGGATATGCACGGCAGGCATGACGTCTGTGACTATGGTGTATTTGTACATATGTGTGTGTGTATGTGTGTTTGTGTATGAGTGTGAGGTGTGTATTAATTGACCCAAACAGGCTCCGGAGACACTCCTGTGTGTGTTGCATTCACAAAAAATGTTATTATAATTTTCGACGACTAAAACAATGTCTTTCTTTTTAGCATTATTATTTCTGATGAAAAGTCTTCCTTTTGAATAAATGTCCATATCACATGAGAATAGTGCTGTCATGTATGTTGATTTGTACTATCGCTGATGATGTCATCAAGGCCAGAGCCAACCGCATGCTGTGGTGGGTTTGCCTCTGTTGGCTGTTATGTTCATACAGTATTTGTTTTATTTGGGGTTTTTTTGGTTAAAATACCAGTTCAGTTGTTGACTTCAATAAACATGCATTTGGGTTAATTTCACCTGTATTGTTGTTGGTTCTTCCTCTTCAGAAACATTCAAAATCAAAGAAAATCTCACATTAAACACACAAATCATAATCCTAGTGTTCAATATTCTAATCTAGTATTGATAATTTTAGTACGATACAAAACAGGACTAGAGTGGGTTATTTCATGAGGGTAAATATCTTGCATTGTTCTCTATTGAGCTGTAAAAAAAAAAAAATTCTGAAAAGGATCTATTCCATGATATATGGACATGAGAAAATAGCTCACAAATCCAATAATCACTGAACGTAACTGTAGATCATCAACAGGTTATAAAAAAGCCAGACTCCGTCATCGTTTTCTACTGTGCAGTTCGACAACACGTCCAACAGAGGGCAGTACAATGCAATAATTCAAAGTTCCTTACTTAGAACAAGAAAGGTCAGCTGCTTATAAAATTAGGAAAAACACTGACTGAGTTCTACTAAATTTCATTTCACATTGGCAGCAGTCTTTATCACATTATTGCTAAAATAGATACTGTAATTCTGTGTTTCTCTCATAGAGGAACAAGTATACAGTATAAAGGCCTCATGATCTCTTGATCTTTCTTTCTTTGATGTTTCTTCTTATCTTTTTCCTTCCTCCCATCACTCTGTACTGTGGTTTGGGGAATATTGTTACCACGTGTTGATACTGGGATGGATGTTAATGATCAGCCTTACATTGTACACATGCTACTAGTTAATTACACAGTAAGAAGTCACACCGCTCGCACAGATGGATATCTGTAACTCTGTCCAGCTGTTGGAGGATTATGGGACTTGTTTGCGCTGAACTTGTTATTAAACGTCCATGTATTCTGTGAACAAAAAAGTTATCTGGCAAGACTTGTTGTGCCAGTTGTCACCAAACCAATGTGATCTAGTTCAAACAGAATAAAATGTAGGTGCCACAAAAGTGGGCAATGATTTGATTAAAATACCATTTTCAATACTACTTTCACCAAATGTGTATTCTACAACATAATGTATATTTGCATATATATTTGCAGACAGTGAAGTCATGTGGCTGTTTGATTTCTTTTGGCTTTTGTTCAATAAAATTTGGAGATTTTCCACAAGGTCCCTGCACTGTGTGCTGTGCATGAATACAACATTGTTAACATAGCAGCTCACAGGTTTTACTGTGGTCAATCACAGACCAAGATTTTATAGAGAAGACTTTTTTATAATACATAAAAAATAAACTCATTGATCCGAATGTTAGACAAAACAGTGGAAATTCAAAAGGTAGACCTGAAATTCAAAGGATAAGATTTGACCCTGACATCTCTGTCATGTCGATTGACAGGATTTATTTTTCATATAAGGAGTAACAGTAGACAATAAAGTCCAGGTTCTTCTTGTTTTCTGACGCTTGTAGCCTCTAAGAGCTCAGTGTTTTTTCTGTAGCATTAAATATTCACGACTTCACAAAAATCTAATTTGGATTGTTGCTTATTAAGATGTTAACTCATTATCAGGACACATTAGCTGTTGTTTTTCACACTGACTGACAGTGGCCAAGGACATAAGCAAACAATCTCACAACTGTTGTCACGTTTCGATTTTGACTTGCCCACTTAACATCAATGATCAAATCGGTTGATAAGAACAAAAACGGTTTCTAAGATTCATTCATTCCAACAATCAGTATTGTTAGAACGGGACAGAAGCAGCTGTTATGAAACAGCTGAGATATGAAACACAAAGAGCTCATTGTTCATATGGTTCTTTTCTTATAGACAGGAATATAGGCTGCCGGTAATTTGGCAGGTTACTTATTGGTCCTTTAATTAATGTCATAACTGTACACCTACTCTATGTATTATTATAACCTGCTGTAAGCTGCAGTCAGTTATGAATTTAAAGCTTTTAATGGTTAAAGTTTTCATGCTCAAACCGCAGTTCTCTCTGCGGCCGCTGGAGCGCCCCCCTCCTCTCTATGGAGTCCAAAACGGAGATTTGGAACGGGGAGGCGTGGAGGAGGTGGAGGTGCTGGTGCTGGTGGTGGTGGTGGAGGAGGGAGGGGGTGTGTGCCACTGATTGTATGAGAGAAAGAGAGAGCGAGAGAGAGAGAGAGAGGGAGAGAGGAATTCAGTCCTGTTTAAATGGGAATCCAGAGCGCAGAGAGGAAAAGGGACTCAGACTGAGAAACCAAGAAAGACAGAGAAGGCAAAAAAAAAAAGTGGAGACAGATTTATTTTACGCACGGGGGAAAAACAGGGAAACGAGTTGAAGAAAGGAAAGGAGGAGGGAGGAAAAGAGGCATCGGATTTTTTTTTTTTCCTCTAAATTTGGCTCCTTTCACTCTCATGACTCAAAGAGGATTCCAGTTAAAGTCAGCCGGTCGGGAGGAATTGATGGTGTCTTTTCGGGGGAGCAGAGCCGAGGGGAGGAATCTGAATGCGCTCGGCTGAACCATGCCAGCCTTGTGGATCATAACTTTGGCGATCACTTTGAACCAAGGTGAGAGATGTTTAAACACACTCAGGCTGAAGTGGCTGGGGCTCGAGCAACACGGGAAACTTTCTTTTTATTTCCTCTTTATTTCTTTTTTTTCTCCTTGTTACCCTTCTTCTTCTCTCTGCTGTGTGCGGGCGTCAGTGCGCTTTGTGGGTGTCTTTCTGTCTGTGCTTGTATGTACTACTGTGCGTCTGTGTGTCTGGCAACGTGTGCACGCGCGTTGTTGTTGTTGTTGTGTGTGTGTTTGTGTGTGCGCGCGCGCGTGCTTGTAAATGTGTTATGTTGTTGTAGATTTGTGCCGCCCTGGACATCATCATTACAGCCCACAGGCGCTGAACAGAGAAAAGGAGTCATGGGGTGTTCAGGGTCTTTGCTCCGCTGGGGGAAAAATGAGGTTTTAGAGCGCAGACACAAACAGAGGCGTTGCATTCATTTTTCTTCAATTACATGTTCATGGGAGAGATGTGGAGCATCTGCACGCGACATCGCTTTGACGTGACCTTTGAAACGCATGAATAGATAGATTTGGTTCACACGCACAAACGCAGTGTGGGTCAACAGAGGCTGTGATGCAAGCACGCGCACATGCTTTCTCACACGTGCACGCGCTCTCTATGTCTCTCTCTATCTCTCCACACACACGCACGCACACACACACACACACACACATTGCGCATAACCTGCCAGCCGGGGATGATTGATGAGGCGAGGATCCAGTGCACATTCTGGTCGCCGGGCTTTAACATGAGTCACACTGGATCAATTTCCAGCACACGCGCACACGCACACACACACACACACACATACACACACACAAGCGCACACACGTACAAAGATTGAAGGAATGTGCGTACGCGTGCGTGTCGTGTGTGTGTGTGTGTGTGTGTGTGTGTGTGTGTGTGTGTGTGTGTGTGGAGAGAGAGTGGAGAGTAAAGACCAGCGCAAGTGTCTCTCCAGAGGGAAAGTCGGTGTGTGTGTGTGTGTGTGTGTGTGTGTGTGTGTGTGTGTCTGTGTGTGTGTCTGTCTGTGTCTGTGTCTGTGTGAGTTTGTGTTTGAGAGAGAGATAACAGAGACCAGTGCATCCTCCTCTTAGTATGCAGGTAGAGTCTCACGTGCTCGTGATCGTGCGCGCGGCCCCGCTACGAACGCGTTGGTGCCAAGAAAAATTAATATTTTACCGTAAAGACGGAGACATATTCACTGGACTGGAGGAGAACCCCATTGCTAATATTAATGTCCCTGTTTATCGATCACCTTGATAGATTGCCCTCTCTCTCTCTCTCTCTCTCTCTCTCTCTCTCTCTCTTTACACACACACATACACATACACACACACACACACACACAAGAGAGAGAGAGGATGAGTTTGCGTTTGTGTTTGAGGACAATCGGCTCCAAAGACAGAGGTGATTAATTGAGGTGGCCTGATGTGAACAGTTCAACTGTGTTTGTGTGTGTGTGTGTGTGTGTGTGTGTGTGTGTGTGTGTGTGTGTGTGTGTGTACCTGCCTCAGCACCTGGGTCTCCGGTGCCGCAGGCCGCCGGTGTGATGAACCACAGACGGTTATCTGCCTAGACAGACAGTGAGAGGAGCTCCCAGGCTGGAGCAGAGCTGACCACCTGAGTGGAATAAAACAGAATAGAATATGATTATGGCTTTAAACAGCAGAGCCGTGCACATGATGGAAGAATCACCAGCAAGAAGTCTGAGCATCTCACACTGAAGAATGGATGGATTTGTCCTTCAATAACAGCACAGTGATCTTAGATCAGATTGGCTGACATCATGATGAGTCCATGTCAATTAGCTCTAAGGAGCTCAGATTAATTAGAGCTACTGGGAGTAATGGAGAGGGTAAAGTAGATTAGGAAAGTTTGATGATTATATCCACAGAGAATCAAACAGAACAAGACAAAACAGAGCTGAAAGACAGAAGAGAACAGAACAGGGATAAAACAATAAAAGAACAGAGGAGAACAAAAGAAAGAGAAGAAAAGAACCACATAGAAACAGAACAGAAACCCAAACAAAACCGGAACAAAACCAGACAGAACAGAACCCGAACAGGATACAGCAGAGAACAGATCAGAACAGCAGAGAACAGAATAGAACAGAATAGTAGAGAACAACATAGAACAGAAGAGAACAGAACAGCAGAGAACAGAACAGCAGAGAACAGAACAGAACAAAATAGAACAGAATAGAACAGCAGAGAACAGAATAGAACAGAAGAAAACAAGATAGAACAGAAGAGAACAGCAGAGAACGGAATAGAACAGTAGAGAACAGAACAGCAGAGAACAGAACAGCAGAAAACAGAACAGCAGAGAACAGAACGGTAGAGAACAGAACAGAACAGCAGAGAACAGAACAGTAGAGAACAGAACAGAACAGCAGAGAACAGAACAGCAGAGAACAGAACAGCAGAGAACAGAGCAGAACAGCAGAGAACAGAACAGAACAGCAGAGAACAGAGCAGAGCAGCAGATCAGTGTCTCCAGCTGAGCCAGTGTAAGCCTGTAAATGTGATCAGAGTGAATCCGTCCCCTACATGCAGCAGCTGCAGCCTAATGTGTGTTTAGCCTGTTTGGACTCTTCCAGGTGTCTGCTGCCTGCCTCCCTCTGCCATCAGTTCTGACTGTCTCTCTCTCTCTCTCTCTCTCTCTCGCTCTCTGAGCGGCCTGATTTACAGTTCAGTCCACTGCTTGTGCCTGGCTTCCTAACGCAGGCCAGCTACATCTCTGTGTGGTTGACCGCGTGTCTGTGGGCCTCTGTAATTACCATTCAGCCCTGCATGTGTATATGTGTGTGTGGGTCAGATGCAGCGCGTTGCCGCTGTGATCTGACACTGTGCTGCCAGCGCCGCTCTGGCCACAGGCGAGGAAGCTCCGTTTCTCACAGTCGATTCTTGAACAGCACTTTTGCTTGAGCTGAACATTTTTGCAGCCTGATCATGCAAGCAAAGCAAGCAAAGCAATTCTTGCACTGCAAGCACCTGTCCCATCTCTCTCCTTTTCACACGCACACACACACACACACACACACACACACACACACACACACACACACACACACACACACACACACACACACACACACACACACTTTCTTTTTCTCCCTCTTCTCCCCGCCTCCTCCCACTCTTTTCTCCCATCACAAGAATAGAGCAGAGGCGCAGATGAAAAGAGACAGGCCAAAAGACAGAGAGATGGAGGCAGGGAGAGACGAAGAAAGGAAGAGACAGCGGGGTTCAGTCCTAATCTGTTGACAAGAGGGGATGTTTGAGGATAAACAGCGGCAGAGCAGGAGCGCTCAGGAAGCAGAGAGAGAAAGAGAAAGGGCCCAATTGGCTTGAGTCTCAGCTTCAACAGCAACCCAGCTGGACCATCAGTGTTTGATGGTTTACAACTTGACGCACAAGTTTGCACCCAAAGTGAGCTCCAGCCATCCTCTCAAGATGTATCCAGAAATGCTAAAGGAAAAGACATCTGGGCTTTCTTTAGATTCCTGAAAACTTTTTGCCTCTCATCCCAAACATCTCATCTCATCCAGTCGCCTTTCAATCAGCACTTAACGTGACCTGGATGACGGAGAATTTAACTTAGTCCAAAGTATGAGATTGTCTTTGATCACTGGTTTTGAGATCTCCATTCTGACGCCCTCAAATGGTTGTGTAATTCCTTTCTGAATCATCCAACAACAGAAATACTCTCACATGGGTTAAGTCATGACTGTTAAGGCAATTTACAGCATGGAAAGATTTAGAAAATGGCATGACAACACACCAGCATGCTGTGTAGTTAAGAGATTCTCAGAAATGTCCAAGTCATGAAACACAGTTTCATTAAATTTCATCTGTACGACCTCCGATAAGAAGATTTCCTTTAGAGTGCTGGCTTATGGCAAGATAGGAGTGATTATATAATGTCCAGCAAATTCAGCTATTGCTCATTTGCTATAGGAAACCCAGAGGTGCATCGCTGGATTTGCCCAGTTTTTGGCCTTGGGGCAAAAATCCAGTGTTGGCTGCTATTGACTAAGCCTAATACTAGCAAGACCGCCTCTCTGTGCACTCTGTGTACAGTGGGGCCTTTAAGAAGACAAATGAAACTGAATCCATTCAGAAATTACAGACCATAAGATCACAGTGTACACTTAAATGATCAACGTGATAAATCTAGTGTTTTAACAGGAACCTTCTTTAAGGCCTTTTCACACAAACGTTAGCGCTGCAAGAGAAACTGTCGCCCACTCGTTCATTTGAATGCGGCCACACTGTTGATGCAGCGCGTTGCCAATTCAGAGAACAAACACAGGGTCAGCCGCCAAAAAAAGCAAGTTGAACGTGGCTCAACTTTTGCTTCGATAAAATGCGACGTCAAACAAAGAATCTGTGTAATTTCAGATGATATCATAATTCAGTGATGATTTTCACAAACTAATTTGCCGTAAATCAAATGACCACAAACAAAACATAGTGAACTTGTCGGGCCCCTGACGGTCTCGGGGCCCCAAGGCAGTTGCCTGCTTTGACATGAGTAAAAAACGCAGCTTACAACAGTAGAATAGAAGTGATGGGTTTCCGTCTTGTGCTCTTACTCCGGAGAAAATAAAAATCGCAAATCGCGCATTTATATTCAATACGTGCAAGAAAAATATTCATTTAAAAACTGCTTGTGCAAATACCATTGTTCGATATATGAGGCAACTGATGTTCATCTTCTGGAAGGATTTTTATCATTTGAAGCACCACTGATGAGCATTTCTTGCATGAGCAGACTCAGGACGAATCAACCCCCCAACCTTGGCCATTAGTGCCATACTGTACTGATTGTGCCATAAAAGCGAATATAAAAGGTTGACTGACTCTGTCGGTCTAATTGGGTGGTAAAAAAAAAAAAGAAAAAAAAGAAATCCACTTGAATACAAAGCGTCGTACTCTCAAATGAAGATAATTAAGAATGACATGACATGCCTTGTTTAAGAGCAGAGTGGAGGTTCAA